ATTCTCGTGCTCCAACCTGGCCACCTCCGCCATCAGCCTTTGCAGCTCATCTGTTGAGACACTCCTGTCTGAAATGTGGCTGGGGGTTGGAGGCACAAGACCCGGCATGGGACCGTGGCGACCTCCCTGCTTCGGCTGTGTCGCTCCACAGCTGGCGCTGGACCAATCCATGCGCCTTGCGGGCTGGGCCAGGGGTTGTGCCTAAACGGTTTAAACTGGCCCACGTTCAAAGAGCAAATGCCTAAACATGTCCCATTTTCGGATCCCAGTATTTGAACTGTTCAAACGAACCACATGTTCAAACTGGTTAAACGAGATCCTTTAAGCATATCAGGGCCCCGTTGTTTAAGCAGCTATCTGTAAACGCGTCGAGCTTTCGGAAAGGAGCAGGAGCCGCAGCCCTGAATCTAGGATCTGGTTTACAGACTCCCTCACAACTAAAGAAAACTTTCCTGGCCGGGTTTGGGTCTGGAATATTACTTTCAATTACGCCACGATTTCGTATGGAGAAAAGGGAGCACATTCAAAGAACGATTGTTTGCGGGTCTGAAGATTTAGGGATGGAGGCGTCGAACTTGCTCTCACTTTCCGGCAAGACTGCTGCTGAGAGTTTGCTGATGCTTGCTTGTTTGCTGCTCTGAGAACGAAGCACGGCTGCTTTGAGAACCAAGCCCCTCCTTTCAGCAGACGCTGTTTGCCGGAGCAAGGCTTTCTGCAAAAGTTCAGGCCCTTCGGAAAAGCTTGTAGAAAGAAGCAACTTTCATTCCTTCCTGAGCTACAGGGAAGGGTTTCGGGACCCACATGAGCCTTGAGCTAAAATAGAGTCTTGAAACATGTTGAAGCACCAGGATTTCGCCTGGAGCCAGGATGTCTAAACTGTCTAAACATTGATGCCAACCTATTTCAATATGTTTAGACGCAATGATTCCCGAGCACGATGATTTGATGTAGTCTATAGTTCTGCCAGAAGAGCTTAAGCAAAACCTGCTTAGGCTTAAACGACAGAAACGTCGAAATGATAGGTGCAACAGGCATGACGACAGAGCAGGGACGACAGGTGCAACAGATTTGACAGGTGCGACAGGTAGACAGTTTCGGTTCAAGAGTTGAAGCGGCTCTAAGATGAAACGTGTTAAGCCCATCCCTGGCACCTTGGACTTGGCGTTCTTGCGACATGGTGGAAGTCCTGCCCTGCTCGGGGCGAATTCCTTCCACTAGGAGAATCCTCGATGTGATGATAGCAGGGCAGTGGCAAAGACCTTTCGCCTTCTGTGAAGTCTGGGCTCGTTTCCGCATCACTCCAACTGTCAAGTTCGGATTCCATAGACTCCCCGGAGGAGTTCGGAGACTCTTCCGATGCCTTCTCGTTGTCCTCCGGATCTGAGGGCTCAGCCGCGTGGCGGCGCGAGTAGCCGACGTAAAGAATTGAGTCGGAGTGTGCACGCATCACTCCGGATGAGAAGGCATCTGAATCTGAAGCATCGTCAACGACTTCTATGAATGTGTTGCGCAGCACCCATCGTGGACTGGATGAGGCCTGCTCCTGTTGCACGGACTCCATCGCGCGAAGGCACGATCTACAGGTAATCGACAGGCAACTCAGACAGTCACCCCCTGAACCAAGATCGGGGCAATGTGCGAGCAGATATCAGAGTGCCACACTCCGGCTTCATGAACCCTCATACGTCCTGCACAACATGTGCTGCCGCCTGGGTCGTTCCGACATGGCCTTCCAGGACCGCCCCAAAGAGTGGAGTCTCGCCGTCCTTCCACAGATGCTGCGTGAAGGCTCGGACAATTGCTGGCCACAGATACCGGCTGCGGTCGCCTTGTTCTGAACATCGAGCTGTGGCTTCGGTGCTTTCTCCCATCTCAACAACCTTGCAATCGCCCATTAAAGATCGCACGGAGTGTCACTCAGCTAAGACTTGGACATCTCCATGATCTGCCTATTGCCAGTTCTTGCAGCCACGTGCAAGGCCTCAGCTTCAGAATTCAAGTTTCTGCACTCGCAAAGACAGCAGCGGTTTTGCACGCTCTGTGCGGCTGGCAGTGATCTTCCGTACCCCATATCTTGCATAAGGGTCTGCACCTGCCTGGGAGCGTCAGGACAGAGACGTAGCGCTTTTGAAGCGGCTGCCCTGCAAAGGCCTCCAGGGCATCGAAAGCCCCATCAAAGTCCCCCTGCCAGGCGGCATCGTAGAGCTCCCGACCTTCCATCTTCCATGCGTTTGCAAAGGACTGCAGATGCTCATGCTACGCTTACTCGCACCGGATCACAAAAGTGTTAGACACATGCTCCACCAAGCAGATCGTTCAAACCCCTGTTTTTGATCCGGCTGGCTCACGCTGCGCTGCAGTCATTGCCATTGCATCTGCAGATTCCTGGAGCCATGAATTGCGGTAATATCTTGCACATGCGTCCCCGTTGGTTGAAACTACGGCTCTCTTCGCCGGCAAAGCCGTCCAGGCTAGCCCCCGTGTCGATGAAGCTGTCTTTCTGCCCGAGGTCTTTGAAGGCCCTCAGGATGGCCAGTCGACCACCAAAGCCTCCAAATACATGCACTCCCAAATAGTACCCGTACCCCTTACCTAAGAAACCTCTCTACAAAACCCTTATATAGTGTACACCGCTTGCAACCCTCGTAGTCGGAGAGTCGCGGTCAGCCACCCTGCACAATCCTGGGTAAAGCCTAGAGAATGTTTGGACCACCCACCAGCCTCCAGATACAAGAAATACAACGTTATCATGCGGCCACTTGGAGCTCTCGTGCTTCATCTGCCTGACCAAGTCATCCACGTGGTCTGCCGCGTTGGAAGCTTCCAGGAAGCTGGCGGTGTTCAGAGTCGTAGAGAGTTTTCGTAAGTGGGGCGGCCCGATCACCACCACTTTTCGATCGAGCAACGATGGAAATGTTGATGGAACAACTGGGTTTGGCGGATTGCCGTAGTTGCCGCTACCTGCCGGACTCTCTCTGCTAGTGAGATCTAGGTAAAAGACGGAGGTGATGAATCCTTTGAAGTTGTGATGCATTTCGTGAGTCTGGAGGAAGCTGTCGAAGTCTGAACCGACATTATTCTGGCACAAGAAGAAGGTTCCAACCAAGACGTACATGTTGGAGTCATCCTCGGAGCCAAGCTGTTGCAGAGATGTGGCCAGATCTTTGCATTGGTCCTGATGGTCCGAATAGCTGATCCCTTCCAGGTTGGAACCTGCTGCCCCACTGACACAGAAGACATCGCCGTCGCCAATGCGAATAAAACTCACGGGCTTACGCTCCCTGAGTCTCCTCTCGACGTCCTTTGTTGATGACTTCCGTAGGTGCTTCTGCATCGACTGTGGCACACAGTCCTGCGATGCATGGTAACCGTGAGCTGCTGCATGGGTGTCCCGCACATGAGCTGACAACTCGTGGAAATACGAGGATGCATTGGCCGTTTGCCGCTCGGCCATCTCTGCAAAGTAGGACTCAGTCTTGCTGACATGAATTGCATCAGCGCAGGTCCACCAGAGCACGGAAAGACAACTCAAAGGCCACGAAGCCATCGAGACTAGAACATATGAAATCTTCCTGACTTAGACTGGTCGAGCCAATATGGCCAACCCTGTGGCCGAACCCGTGTGAGAGCGCGCAGACCGCCCGACATACATTCTCAAGGACAGCAGGTGAGTCTGGTAAGATGCTCTCTAGTAATTTTTTTTGGAACTGATATCAGCAGCTTCTGTGCAGATCCCTGGGCGCCGGGCTGTGGTCAGTCCGCCGTTCTGACCTCCTTGCGCCTGCAACAAAGTTCACGAACGACATGAGAGCTGACGTCACAGGCAGCGGAGGGCCTGCTACATGCTGCTCGAGAGGTTCGGCCTGCTGTGCATTGCAAGCGCCCCACGCACGCATCCAACACGTGCAGAAGTGCGGCGAATGTCATGACTATGCAAAAGGTGGAATCCTGGACGGTCGCATCCTCCACGATCTGCCCGGGCGACGACATGCGAAGCGTGCGAACATCATGCAGACCCTACAGCTCAAAGTGTATCAGTTCATCGTTGGGTTTTGTTGGCGCCTGTTTCCCCCTGCAGCAACGACATGTTCTGCAACACACGGTTAACGAATTTACAACTCCGGCCGCTGTGGCCTGAACTGCGGGCGTGCGAGCATCGCCGAGCCTCCTGAGCAGCTGCGCACTGCTCCAGACACGTCCACGCGAAAGGCCCTGGCGGCTTTGCGCTGGCTCTTTCCGCCTGTGTCTCCTGTTCTTCAAAGGTGAAGAACGAGTGACACAAGCTGGCAACGACATCGTTTTGAATCTTCACGCCGAAAACTAGTTCAGATAAGAGCTTCCCTGACACTTCCGCGGTAAACCACTTCGCCATAGTGTTGAACCAGCTTCCGCGAATCAGTCCTCTTGCTGCGAGGGTTGCACTAGCCCGCCGATTTGTCTGATCCCAGCACCTGAACCGCACAGCTCTTTCGGGGTGATCTTCTGCTGCCGTGAAGCACGCTCGGCCTACCAGCAAGATACCCGCGAAACACCCGCCGCAGCACTCGCACGCCTGACTGCAAGCGCAAAGGTGTCGCCTTTCATGCTCCGCAATGCCACCTTAACTCCAGACAAGCTCTGAGCTCAAGGCTGTCATCCGGCTAGATGTCGACCAGGTCTAAGCAGCCATAAGGGAAGGAACTCGGCATGTCAGCCTTCACTGGTTCCAATTATTCGCCTTGACAGCTGTCTTAGCAGTTCCGCAACAAGGGGAGCTTGCCATGTCCAGTTGTCAAGAGCAGACGTAATTACAGCTCCTGCCTTAAGTCAACTCTAACAGCAAGACTGTGATACTGTCGAATGTCGCCTTCTTGGTAAGGGCTCATCGGTCGAGCCAAGCAGCTTCAAGGGCCAGTCACACGCAAAGCGTTCGCACGACCCTTGAAGAGAGCTTCGGGCTCCACAGGTTCAGTCTCTCACACTCGAGGTTGTCCCGTCGCAGGTGACATCTCTCGGCGCGCCTGTGAAGGTGTTCTGCCTCCGCGAAGGAAACGAAGAAGTTGGATCCGTTCGTGTTGGGGCCGTCGTTTGCCATGCAGAGAAGACCTGCCAGCAGCCAGACAGAGACCATGAGAGACAGGGAGGCAACGAAAGCAAGAGCGAGCAAAAGAAAGAGAGAGAGAGAGACTCATGAATATGCATACATATGTATGTCTGTCTGTCTGTATCTGTATGTATGGATAGATGGATGGATACATGGATGGAGTATCTACGTATGCATGTGTATCATGTGTATATACGGGCGGAGCGTGCCCTGTGTTTTCAATGGTTTCGGTAGGCGCCTCGTCGCGAGACGGGGTCCCTGAAGCCTTCATCAGCGAATCGCCGTGACCAAACGGACTCTCCGCCCGTCCTGTCGTGCAGCTTTAAGAAATGGGATCGTGGTGTGGTAGTGCGTCTGATCAGTTTGAGCTCGCAGCCCATTGGCATTCTCGAAATCGCCACCCTGCTTGCATTCACAATCAGGAACCGAGGATCCATTTGGAGCTGCTATTAGCAGCATGTTGTTTGTCTTGTGCTGTGGGTTCTCCCCTTCTGCTCCCGGCGTTGTCTCATGCTGACGGTTTCTGTCCTTATGCGAACCTGGCTTTTTCCTTATGCTGCCCCCCTCGCCCCCGCACCCCCCCCCCTTTTCTTATGCTTACCTTCTGCACCCTGCACCACAATTCCGCCCCCTCCCCCTTTTCCCTTAGGCTCTTCGCTCCCCCCCCACCTCGCTTATTTTCTTTTTCCGCAAGTTTGGTGTTGCTGCGTTGCTGTTGTTGCCTTTTCCGCTTCCCGTTGACCTCTCCCTGCTTCTGGACCATCCCCCGCCTCCGGCTCCCCCGGCACCCCTCGGACTGTGGGCTCAAAGGCGAAATTCGAAGCCCACAAAGTGCCGTAAAGCCGGTTTCCTGATTTGCTCCACCTGTGTCGTACCTATGCAATCCCAGGTTTTCGCCCTGAAAATCTGTAAATGCCCACCCTCAAACTGTGCAAAACATCATTAAGTCTGCGAAGCCTGATGATGAACTTCTAGCTTTTTGCTTGGGGAAGTGCAGGTTTTTCCGGTCGAGCTGCCTCCTCCTTCGGGGCCAAATGGCCCGCGATAAACCCTCCCATTGCGGCGTTAAAGGCCAAATCCAAAGCCGAAAAATGCCGCAATCTGCTTTCAAAAATTCGTCCACTTGTGCAAACTTAGGCGCTGGGCTTTGGCCCTGAACGTGCAAAACTCCGAAGAGCTGCAAAAGCCAGCAGCGCCCCTCAAACAACGGCTCAAGTTCGAAATGTGCAACAAATACCCATGCGTCGGTTGTCACCCGTGTGCACAACCCTGAACATCTGGAAAAGCCACGCTTATCGCTCAAACACAGGCACACAGTGAGCACGTGCTCGCAACCTGATTTTGACGTGAGAGCGCAGGATTGTTGCTTCGGGCTGCCTGAACTTTCGGGGCCCTTACACATGTTTCCTGGCTTTATAGACAAACTCAGGTCCAATACATGTATGCGGGGGATGGGAGGAAAAGGGTGGGGGGAGAGGGGGCAGCATAAGGAAAATTGAAAGCCGGCGTCGCGTAAGAAAAAGCCAGGTGCGTATTTCAAAAAAAGCCCGGCGGGCAAGGACAAACCAGGTGTGCGTACGGAAGGGAACCCAGGAGCATAAAAAGAAAAACCATCCGCAAGAGGCCTGAAACCATGGCCCCTGCATTTCAATTCAAGGGGGGCGGAGGGGGGAGCTGGAGAACAGAGAGCATCAGGGAAAAAACCTCAGAATTAAAACCGAAGCGAGCCCGTTGTCAGCAGCCAGATTGTGTGCTGCATTGCTCAGCAAGCCTGGATCATCAAACCAGGAATCATACGATGCCTCAGACTTCGCTGCGGTGTCACAATAGACTATTGCTGGCTGGGACTGTATGCGACATTACGTTCCCAGCCATGATGCAAGATGCTGCCCTTGTAGTGGAATGGTTTCCCACGCGCTGTGGTTCCTGGAGGCGACATTGCTGCAACGGCTGCATGCAGGAAAACCATCCAAGATACCTGGATGCTCGCCCGTGCAAAGCCGGCGGAAATTCTCCGCTGTCTTTGGCACCTACACGAGGCTGAAGGATTGTCCACATGTCGAAAAGCAAACGCTGTATCCCGGCCAATAAGAATTCATACATCTTTCCCCATTCCACATCGTCTCTCCGTGAGGACGCACAACTCCCACATGTAAAACGACGGGCACAGCTTTCTCAGAAGCCCACAGTGTCGGCATAAAGGGCAAAGACCTGAGCGGCCCAGCAGCGTCACTTCGACTCAGGCAGAGTTCGTGATCCATGGCCACTTTGGCCTGCCAGAGGAGCTTCTCCAAGGCTGCAACTACTCTCTTGGCTTCAGCACCGTCGATGGCGACTTCCAGCCAAGCCCTAGGCCTCTGGCGAAGCACCAGGGCATCACATGTTCAGGTCTCTTGCTTCTATGTTACGTGCAAAAAAGAAATTTCAGCTTTTGCTTAGATTAACATGTCAATCCACTGCAACAGCTTTCGTAGCAGTACTAGCACGAGTACTGACGACGACGTTCAGGTGGTCTCTGCAATAAATGGAACTGACAGCATGAACAGAAGAAGGCGCAGCGCATGCATACGTTCGGCTGCCAACTGCATGACTAAGAACACTAGGCCGCGCAATAGCCCGTCACCCAGCACCACTTGTGAGACACTCTCGCATCGCCAGAAGGCACACTGGAACTATGTCTGCACCGACAGGAGTCCTGTCTAGAGTTGCGTGGAAGTGTTGCATGGCCAGAATATGCCGAGCACGGCATTGCCAACTACGCAAATGACAGATGGTTAGTGCTTTCAACGTGGCAAAGCACGGTTTCGTATCATGACAGTTAGTGTTTCTACCGACCCCTTTGCGAAGCCATGACTTGCGGACGGAGGATGCAGAGCAAAAGAGACACACACACACAGGCTTGCGCGCTCGCGCGCAAGCGTGATCGGATGCGTTCTGCAGCGGCTCAGTTTGCAGCTCTCCAAGCCAGATTAGCATAGGTCTGCTGGAGAACTGAACCCAGGATTTCTTCGTGAACTGAGTTTGACACAATGAGCTGATGTCATGGTCGACCGGCCCCTCTTCCTGCCAAACCCCGCCAGAATACCACCTCACATCTCAGAAGCTCTGCCTCTTCCTGCTTCTTCTCCATCTCTTGAAGAGCTTTCTTTAGCCTCAATCTCAAGGAGCAGCATGCAAGCCCAAGAAGGCTGTACGTTGTACATTTCAGCGATCCGTCGACGAGATTTGATTTTTGAAAGCCTCTGGGCTCCCGGCTCTTCATACCTTGTAGGATGCTCGGCATACAGTGCGAACTTCTGCTGCATAGTGAAACCCCATATCACACCATGACATGGAGTTCAGCAAAGCGACTTCCGGCGGATATCCGCGTTGCGTGGCTCTATCCTTCCGTGCAAATGCCAGTCTGATCGCCAGTTGCATCCGATGCTCCGATACTCTCTTCTTCTCCCAGGCACAAGGGGCGAGTAAGGCCCCCCAGGCGCTAAAGCCCGCCCGGCTAATACGGGCTTGTTTTTGTCCATTCAGGTTCATCCCCCATCTTTCAGGATATACGACTTTGTTCAACACTGTGATGCCAATCACCCAATTTCTGGAAACAAGTTACGAGCAACTTGCCAAGATTAAATTTCAGGGGATCGTCGACATGTGAACAGAACTCGGTCTAACTCAAGTAAGCCTGCAACCACTCCTGTAGGAGGAACGGGTTCTCAAGTCCATTGCATGTTTTGAAGAGCATCCTGGGGACTGTATCCGCATCCGGCCTTTGTCTGAAAAACATGCTATGGCGGCAACTACATAACGACAATAGCGTACGGAAAAGCTGGATCACGAAGTTGGGCCTGTTGCGCTGGTGTTCCCCGATGCTTCATCAAGCGGCCGATACTTGCTGGCAATCGGTCAAGGGCAATGCAGACGCACCGCCCCGATACTCTCTGTCTCTCTCCCTCTCTCTCCCTCGGTCTCTCGGTCTCTCGGCCTGGCAGCACGCTGTAGGTCGTTCGCCGCAGCCTGAGGAGTCGTTCGAGAAAGCCAACTTGACGCAGACAGCTTCTTCGCGAGCTTGGACTACCGATGGCCACCTGCTACGTTTTGTCCTGCAGATCCTCTGTGGGGCAGTGCGCCAAGTACGCAACAGCCTTCCCTCAAACTTAGGAGCGGCTGCGCCTGCAGGAGAGATGCTATACAAGCCGACCAAACCCGGCTTCGCGGACAGCTTCACGCGAGGTATACTTGGGGAGCATGCGTTCGATCTGAGTGCCGGCAAACATCGTGCAACTCATCTCTCACATTCCTCTGGTCGCCGACGGAGGCAGTGTACCCAACAGTTGGAGTCTTCTTTCATGATGGGCTTCTGGGGCCGCTCCACACGAGACTGCCATTCGGCGAAGAAGTTCATTCTCCTGCTCCAACTTCGCTACCTCCGCCATCAGCCTCTGCAGTGCATGTCTCGAGACATCCCCTCTGCCGGCGGAATGGGCCTCTGGTGCCTGGCTATGAGTTGGAGGGACAAGCTCCGGCATAGGATCGGACCGAATTTCCTCCGCCGGCGAGCCTGTGTCGCCGAAGCTGGCGGCGGGCCAGTCCATGCATCGCGGACTTGGCGTCTGTGCGACATACTGCCCCGCAGCACCGGGCGTGCTCCTCCCACTGGGAGAGTCCGCGATGTGATGATAGCAGGGCAGCGGGAAAGACTTTTCGCCTGCCATGGTGTCTGGGGTTGTTTCTGCATCACTCCAACTGTCGAGTTCGGATTCTGTGGACTCTCCGGAGCAAGTCGGAGACTCTTCCGACGCCTTGCCACTCTTGCTCTCATGCTCTGATTGCTCAGCTGCATTGCGCCTAGAGTAGCCCTCGTACAGGACGGAGTCTGAGTTTGCACGCATCAGGCAGCTTGAAAATCCGTCTGAATCCGAAGCATCATCGACGACTTCGAGGAATGTGTTGCGCAGCATCCATCGTGGACTGGATTGCTGAACGGACTCCATCGCGCGAGGCACGATGTAAAAGGCAACCAGTTGGCAACTCAGACAGCTACCCTTTGAGCCAGAATCAGAAAGTGAGCTCCTTCAAACACAGAACCCCGAGCGTCGACAAACATAGGGCGGAGATCCGGCATCTTTTCTCTCGCAAGCTTAAGATTGCATGTTGCGAGGGCGCCAAGTACGCGCCAGCGTTGTCCCTCACTTAGGAGCTTTGGAACAGCTGGGCTTTTTAGCTCGCAGCATGTGTTTCGAATGTTCGAACACCTGTACAAGCCGGCCAAACCCGGCTTCGCGGACAGCTTCACGCGAGGTATACTTGGGGAGCATGCGTTCGATCTGAGTGCCGGCAAACATCGTGCAACTCATCTCTCACATTCCTCTGGCCGCCGACGGAGGCAGTGTACCCAACAGTTGGAGTCTCCTTTCATGATGGGCTTCTGGGGCCGCTCCACACGAGACTGCCATTCGGCGAAGAAGTTCATTCTCCTGCTCCAACTTCGCTACCTCCGCCATCAGCCTCTGCAGTGCATGTCTCGAGACATCCCCTCTGCCGGCGGAATGGGCCTCTGGTGCCTGGCTATGAGTTGGAGGGACAAGCTCCGGCATAGGATCGGACCGAATTTCCTCCGCCGGCGAGCCTGTGTCGCCGAAGCTGGCGGCGGGCCAGTCCATGCATCGCGGACTTGGCGTCTGTGCGACATACTGCCCCGCAGCACCGGGCGTGCTCCTCCCACTGGGAGAGTCCGCGATGTGATGATAGCAGGGCAGCGGGAAAGACTTTTCGCCTGCCATGGTGTCTGGGGTTGTTTCTGCATCACTCCAACTGTCGAGTTCGGATTCTGTGGACTCTCCGGAGCAAGTCGGAGACTCTTCCGACGCCTTGCCACTCTTGCTCTCATGCTCTGATTGCTCAGCTGCATTGCGCCTAGAGTAGCCCTCGTACAGGACGGAGTCTGAGTTTGCACGCATCAGGCAGCTTGAAAATCCGTCTGAATCCGAAGCATCATCGACGACTTCGAGGAATGTGTTGCGCAGCATCCATCGTGGACTGGATTGCTGAACGGACTCCATCGCGCGAGGCACGATGTAAAAGGCAACCAGTTGGCAACTCAGACAGCTACCCTTTGAGCCAGAATCAGAAAGTGAGCTCCTTCAAACACAGAACCCCGAGCGTCGACAAACATAGGGCGGAGATCCGGCATCTTTTCTCTCGCAAGCTTAAGATTGCATGTTGCGAGGGCGCCAAGTACGCGCCAGCGTTGTCCCTCACTTAGGAGCTTTGGAACAGCTGGGCTTTTTAGCTCGCAGCATGTGTTTCGAATGTTCGAACACCTGTACAAGCCGGCCAAACCCGGCTTCGCGTACGATTCGTGAACGCGAGATAACACAATCTGTTGTTGGGACAGGCAACCTATATCGAGCTAGGAGCCTGCGAAAGTCAAATTCAGAAATCTTGCAAGACACCGGATTTTATCTGCCTGGGCGTGGACCTCGAACCCGTCCGGAAAGCTTTCTTGCGGCATCCGCACTTGTGTGTCGTTTGTGCCTCGAGCCGTGCACCTTGCCGTCCACTTGGCTGGTGGGGTGGCGACTGCGTGGCGGTCTCGAAGACTTCGACGGCTCCGGAAAGGCCACTCGGACGCCGTTCTGAAGAACGATTGGTCTGTACTCATCCGGCACACTCTCGTGCATGATGGGGCTGTTGCGGTAACGCTCCACATGAGACTCAAGCCCTTGATGTGGTTCGCTCCAGCTCACTCCGCAAAGCTTCTTGCTCCGCACTACCCAGTTGGAGTAGCCGCTGAATTTGGCCCAGAATTCCGGGACATACGTAGGATCCACCAAGTTCACGAAGGCATAGCCCATGCAAGCCCGCGTCCGAAAGTCGATCGGCAAGTACAGGAAGTTGTACTTGCCCTCAAAGCCCTCTTTGTCGAGCAGCGCAAGAATCATGGAACGATTATAGTTATTGGGTAGATTTCTAAGCATCACTGTCGTCCACTCTTCCATGGGTTTATCACACTCGGTGCTCTTTGCCTGAGTGGGACTTTGGCTGGCTCTTGGGAGGCTGAGCTCTGCCTCCAAAGGTGCGTTGCCCTTGCGGCTGCGCAAGCGTCGTCGCCGGGGCATCGTGCTGGCAACCGTCAGATCCGGGTGTGGCTCATAAGAGCTCGTCCAGGTCTCAGCCGAGAACGGCATCTGTGAACTGCTGCTCGATGCAGGGACCAAGCCGGCAGGCATCAAAACTGCGGTCCAACTCGTGCCGCTGTCTTGTTGGGAGAGATTCACAGCTTGCGCATCACCTTGGCTTCTGACTTCTTGTCCTGGTGCTGGCTCCTGCGCCAGTCGGCGAAGAAGCTCATTCTCCTGCTCCAACTTCGCTACCTCCGCCATCAGACTCTGCAGTGCATGTCTCGAGACATCCCTTTTGCCGGACTGGGCTTCTGGCACCTGGCTATGAGTTGGAGGGACAAGGTCCGGCATAGGGTCGGACCGAAACTCCTCCGTCGGCAAGCCTGTGTCGCCGAAGCTGGTGGAGGGCCAGTCCATGCATCGCGGAGATGGCGTCTGTGCGACATACTGCCCCACGGCACGGGGGGTGCTCCTCCCACTGGGAGAGTCCGCGATGTGATGATAGCAGGGCAGTGGGAAAGACGTCTCGCCTTCCATGGTGTCCGGGGTCGTTTCGGCATCACTCCAACTGTCGAGTTCGGATTCCACAGACTCCTCGGAGGAATTCGGAGACTCCTCCGATTCCTTGCCACTCTTGCTCTCATGCTCTGATTGCTCAGCTGCATTGCGCCTAGAGTAGCCCTCATACAGGACGGAGTCTGAGTTTGCACGCATCAGGCAGCTTGAAATTCCGTCTGAATCCGAAGCATCATCGACGACTTCGAGGAATGTGTTGCGCAGCATCCATCGTGGACTGGATTGCTGAACGGACTCCATCGCGCGAGGCACGATGTAAAAGGCAACCAGTTGGCAACTCAGACAGCTACCCTTTGAGCCAGAATCAGAAAGTGAGCTCCTTCAAACACAGAACCCCGAGCGTCGACAAACATAGGGCGGAGATCCGGCATCTTTTCTCTCGCAAGCTTAAGATTGCATGTTGCGAGGGCGCCAAGTACGCGCCAGCGTTGTCCCTCACTTAGGAGCTTTGGAACAGCTGGGCTTTTTAGCTCGCAGCATGTGTTTCGAATGTTCGAACACCTGTACAAGCCGGCCAAACCCGGCTTCGCGTACGATTCGTGAACGCGAGATAACACAATCTGTTGTTGGGACAGGCAACCTATATCGAGCTAGGAGCCTGCGAAAGTCAAATTCAGAAATCTTGCAAGACACCGGATTTTATCTGCCTGGGCGTGGACCTCGAACCCGTCCGGAAAGCTTTCTTGCGGCATCCGCACTTGTGTGTCGTTTGTGCCTCGAGCCGTGCACCTTGCCGTCCACTTGGTTGGTGGGGTGGCGACTGCGTGGCGGTCTCGAAGACTTCGACGGCTCCGGAAAGGCCACTCGGACGCAGTTCTGAAGAACGATTGGTCTGTACTCATCCGGCACACTCTCGTGCATGATGGGGCTGTTGCGGTAACGCTCCACATGAGACTCAAGCCCTTGATGTGGTTCGCTCCAGCTCACTCCGCAAAGCTTCTTGCTCCGCACTACCCAGTTGGAGTAGCCGCTGAATTTGGCCCAGAATTCCGGGACATATGCAGGATCCACCAAGTTCACGAAGGCATAGCCCATGCAAGCCCGCGTCCGAAAGTCGATCGGCAAGTACAGGAAGTTGTACTTGCCCTCAAAGCCCTCTTTGTCGAGCAGCGCAAGAATCATGGAACGATTATAGTTATTGGGTAGATTTCTAAGCATCACTGTCGTCCACTCTTCCATGGGTTTATCACACTCGGTGCTCTTTGCCTGAGTGGGACTTTGGCTGGCTCTTGGGAGGCTGAGCTCTGCCTCCAAAGGTGCGTTGCCCTTGCGGCTGCGCAAGCGTCGTCGCCGGGGCATCGTGCTGGCAACCGTCAGATCCGGGTGTGGCTCATAAGAGCTCGTCCAGGTCTCAGCCGAGAACGGCATCTGTGAACTGCTGCTCGATGCAGGGACCAAGCCGGCAGGCATCAAAACTGCGGTCCAACTCGTGCCGCTGTCTTGTTGGGAGAGATTCACAGCTTGCGCATCACCTTGGCTTCTGACTTCTTGTCCTGGTGCTGGCTCCTGCGCCAGTCGGCGAAGAAGTTCATTCTCCTGCTCCAACTTCGCTACCTCCGCCATCAGACTCTGCAGTGCATGTCTCGAGACATCCCTTTTGCCGGACTGGGCTTCTGGCACCTGGCTATGAGTTGGAGGGACAAGGTCCGGCATAGGGTCGGACCGAAACTCCTCCGTCGGCAAGCCTGTGTCGCCGAAGCTGGTGGAGGGCCAGTCCATGCATCGCGGAGATGGCGTCTGTGCGACATACTGCCCCACGGCACGGGGGGTGCTCCTCCCACTGGGAGAGTCCGCGATGTGATGATAGCAGGGCAGTGGGAAAGACGTCTCGCCTTCCATGGTGTCCGGGGTCGTTTCGGCATCACTCCAACTGTCGAGTTCGGATTCCACAGACTCCTCGGAGGAATTCGGAAACTCTTCCGATTCCTTGCCACTCTTGCTCTCATGCTCTGATTGCTCAGCTGCATTGCGCCTAGAGTAGCCCTCATACAGGACGGAGTCTGAGTTTGCACGCATCAGGCAGCTTGAAATTCCGTCTGAATCCGAAGCATCATCGACGACTTCGAGGAATGTGTTGCGCAGCATCCATCGTGGACTGGATTGCTGAACGGACTCCATCGCGCGAGGCACGATGTAAAAGGCAACCAGTTGGCAACTCAGACAGCTACCCTTTGAGCCAGAATCAAAGTTTTCCGAACATCCAGGATTGCTCTAATGACTCGAACGTGACCTGACTCCCCAGTGATCTGCCCGGCTCAGCAGACTCAGGTCCCTGCCTGGGTTTTGCCCAGGGCCTCCTGCGCCAAGCCACGCCGGAAAAAAGCCTGGCAAGCCAACAGAAAAGAAGGAAACTGAAAGACACCAATACAATTTTCAATATGAATATTGATGCTCATATCAACAATAATACAAATACTAATAAAAACAATAATAATAATAATAATAGTAATACTAATAATAATAACACTCATAATAATAATACTCATACTCATAATAATGATAAAAAAAACAAGCCGCCGCCAAAGTCTGCCTTGGCATTGTCTTGGTCCACTTTCAACGCTCGCGTGGCGTGATGCACCGTGGCCTCAAAGGCCTGCATCAAGGCGGCAATTTGGGTGGCTTCAGGCCCAACACGGGGTTTAGGGGTTTAGGGGTCCATAGGGGTTTATATGTGCCAGCATCCGCGCCCCCCCCCCCCCCTCCCCCCCCCATGGTAATCCCCCTCCCCCCCCCTGTGGTTCCTGTGGTTCCCCCCCCCCTGTGGTTCCTCTTGGTTTTCCCCCTCCCTTTTGTGGTTCTTCTGGTTCCTGTCTCCCCCCTCCCCCCCTGTGGTTCCTGTGGTTCCTCCGCGTGGTTGCTGCTGCTTTGTTGTTGCTGCTGTTCTTCTTCTTGTTCTTGTTCTTGTTCTTGTTGTGTGGTCGCCCGGGTCGGGGGGGGGGGGATACCATTGGGGGGGGGGGGGGGGGGTCGAGAACGCGGAGCGCGGGCACATATAGGGGTTGATAGGGGTTTATAGACTAGAAAGTACTACAACATACTAGAATATATGGAGAACAGTCCATAATATACTATACTAATGAAGGGGGCTTGGGATTTAGGGGTTAGGATTACTTAAAGGGCACTTTGAAAGAGATCTAGACGCGGTTCTAGAAGCGGCGGTTGGGGTTTCTTGGAGGCCCAGGGAACTTAGTAAGTAGCGTATAGGGATATAGTTGCGGTAACTCCATTTAGGGCACTTATAACCCTACTTATAACCAACATCCTACGGTTGATGATATAAATCCTGCATCACCTTCATGACTCTAGACTATGGGATTTATGGTATGTTCCTCATTGGGGGTAATGCAGGATTTATATTGCCAACCGTAGGGCCCAGCATTCTTTGAAGGACCTGGCCTTGAGCTGCAAACAGGCCTGCGCCAAGTTCAGGTGAAGGCCTTGAGCAGAGAGACCGAGACTAATAATGTATGTATATATACATAGATTATGTGTGTGAATATATATATATATATATATATATATATATATACGAAGATCTCGTTCAGACCGAGCTCCAGGCTCATACAGTGTCGTGCCATACTACCATGGCATGCTTCTGGTAGGAGTTCCAGTGCCTGCGTCGGGGATCGAAGAAGCAGGCATGGGTCACAGCAGAACGCCGGCGTTAGACTAGAGGTGTAACAGGCAGAAGCATCTTCATCTCGAAAGTGGAACAGAAGCGATCCACATGAATGTGAGTTGCACCTCTCAAGACCCTCAGAGAAGCTTCTGAAGAAGCTGGGTTGGGAAAGGGCCAAAGGGGGTCTAAGTCAGTGCCACTCTTAATGCCCAACTGCTGGGCTGGGCCTCTCCGGTCTCCACCTTCGGTACAGACAGGCCCGGGCTATGTACAGAGGCATGCAACAAGCAGTGCACTTCCAGAGAAGTACTCTGGAAGTGTGCTGCTCTCGTATTTCCAACCGAAGCTGAGATTTCCTACTGTCGGCCCGGCTCTTCATGGAGCAGGTTACAAAGGGAGAGTAAAGATGATCTGCAAGAAGGTGTCCAGGCTAGGCATCCGTTGCATTCGCAGGCACGTCTCCAACAGCCGAGGCCGACATGCGCTCAAGTCTTTCCTGAAAAAGCTTAGATGAATCGTGCATAGCTGGACGCAGCTGCGTAAGGATTCCTCTCAAGACTCGAGCACAATGAGCTTGAAGTGGCGATGAGGAAACCTGTCCTGTCGCACGTCTTTGGTGCGGCCAAAGTTGTTGAGCGCGCATACGCCGGGTATGCCAAAGAAGCACGGCGAGTTACGTCTGAAACTCGCAGGCAGACTCGAGAGTAGAGTTCAGAGACGGCAGGCGACTGCAGCAAAGCATCGACGTGATGTTGTAAGTCTTCCCATCGACCTTGGCGCATTAACTCCCCGACGCATCTTGTGTCACTAACGGCGGCAGGACGGTTGGCTGCAGAAAGGCGAGTGACACCCAGGAGCCTTCTTGAGGACTGAAGCATTCGGCGACCTGAGCGCAGGCTTGTGCCGTGCCTCAAAGAGGATTGCGGAGGCAGCTGAGGACGCCACTACGGAACTGACCTCGTTGCCGCCGAAGATGTACAGCTTGCTGGAACAACCTGAACCATCCCAAGCCCACGCTGCAGAAGGCACAAAGGCAAGCAGTTGCTACAGGGTCCCAGCATGCCGAGCTGAGCGTGCCCCGGACGAGATCCAAGCTCGGCAGTGTCTGGCGTCAGTGGCTCCGGCCGCACACGATCCCAAGCAGCGGACTTTTGCCAGCGAGTAGAAGTAGAACAACCACTGTTTTGTTTCTTTGCAGAGATGAGAAGGCAGACGGGACACTCGGCAGCCCCCAGTAGCTTTGAGCCTCGAGCCGGACTTTGTATCTAAACTCTGGACGAAGGACGGACTTGAAGCTTCTGGACACTGAGCTCTTGTGGCTTCGAGCATCGCGTTGCCGCTGCTTTGCTGCCCTTGAGGCCCGAGATTTCCTATTCCCTAAAGCTACAATCTGCAGCTGATGCACGAGAGCTCCTCGAACATCTGCCACTGGGTGAAACCACGGCAGGGAATCATGCGACCAAGCTTATTCAAACTATGAAGCTTGAGGCTGTTACACCTGCTTGCCCCTTCACGTACCGGACCCGTCATCCGGAGAGTGTCCTGCGGAGAAGATGAAGCAAATCGTCTCAGGTTGTGTTGCCAGGTGGGAGCTGGGAAAAACACTCGCAACTTTCACAGCAAGCTGAACCCGGCTCGCCGTCACAATCGGTTTATCACCAGATGATCTGGAGGTTGTCTCCAACGTGTGCTCACAGCTGTGCAGAAGACATGGCTCAGGCTGACATTTCTCTCTGCACTGCGAAAGCATTTGACTTAATGCTGAACACCTGATATCACATAATCAAGCCGCTCGTAGTTGTTTGACATTTCGAGAAATGAAGACTTGATCTGAGCCAGCTTCTGCCCATGCTGCAGCTGCCGAAGTTCGATATCTAGTGTACATTGACAGTCACGTCAGCTCAGGTTCACCGACTCGGTCGAGTTGGCCTGGAGCCTAGCGGCATTAGCTCGATCTGCTGCGCTTGTCGCACAGTCATGTCCTTCACTTTCTTTGCAAACTTGTCTGTCCGAGTCTTCATGCCGCTGTCTTGGAAGAACAAGAAGACGGCAAATGACTCGGCCAAAACGAGTGGCACACCTGCGACACATCCATTTACACGCAGCTGCCTGGACCTGGACAGTCACGGACGTGCCGACAAGTGACAGAACCAGCCCCCTTTCCTCAACAGCCGCCCGATTTGGATAAAGACCTCGGAGCGAACGTACAGAGTTGGAGCTAAAGGATGAAATCAGGTCTCGTATCCTGTGTTGGATATGTTGCATGTACACCCCGATATCGATATCCCAAGCAACCCTCACGGGTAATCAGAAAAACCTTAAATATTCGAAAGACGTCAGGACGGCCACAACTTCCAGATGTTGAATTTGAGAAGTGTAATGAGGACTGAGACGAACAACTGTATTAACGGATGAGAAAGCATATGCAGCGCCAAGAGACTAATGCACACGCAGCAGGTTGAAAGTATCCATAGCTAAGCTGAGCCCCGCCAAGCGGCCCAATGAAGGGTGCAGTTTGTCAAAGCGAAGACTGCAGTGATGGCACCTTTGAGCATCTTGTCATGGTGAAGTCACGCTCCATTGTACCATTGTCAGGGAGCGCATTTTGCACAAACACTCAGAACTTCTAGATCTTCGTTGAGATCCTGAATTTTGCCTGCCAGCGCACACTTGTTGAATCGCTTTGTATGCGACATCGCTCGCATGATGGCCATCAGAATTCCCTGTGCAGTGCCGCGACTCACGACACCCAAGTCTTCGGCACTGGCAGCAACACATCCCACGTCACATAAACTTTTAAATGCAGCTGGGGTTCAAACATCAGCGGGAAGATGATAAACATGATATGCAGGCCTTGGAATGTCGAAACCAAAGTGTGCAAGACTACATGTTCGAAGCGTGCGAAAACGCATCGGTAACATCTTTGCTTTCACGCAATCACCTTCTGACCAGGCACACTGAAAGATTCTCGCTGCAGCGCCATCGCGCTTCTGCGAATTGTTCTCAAGCTGCCCAGGGGTAGGAGCGTGACAAGTTGCAGGAAGCCATGACTGCTGCTGCTGCTACTACTACGACGACTACTACCCCTACCACCGCCAATACCAATGGCACCACCACCACTACCACCACTACCACCACTACCACCACTACCACCACCACCACCACGACAACTACTGCTGCTACTACTACTACTACTACTACTACTACTACTACTACTACTACTACTACTACTACTACTAGTTAGTACTACTCCTACTCCTACTGTTGCTCTGCTGCTGCTACGCTGCTACAGCTGCTGCTGGGGCTACTGCTGCTACTGCTACTGCTGCAATGCCACTACTGCGACTACGACAACGACTCTACTGCATGGGCCACAAAAAACTTTTGCCTCGTTCATCGTGATGTAATCGAGCTGGTGCATGGCAGGCCAGACAGAAGCCACGAGAACAAAGTGGAACGGCATCCGTGCCCCTCTTACGGCTTCCCCGACTTCTTCTCTGAAGCGTCCACGGATCAACTCCTTTGATGCTCGCGCGACGCTGTGCCACAATCTGATGTGTGTATGTGTGTTGGCAGGTATCTGATCTGCCAAGCATCGTTAAAGGTGGCTAAACCTTCCGTCACGTCATCGTCGCCATACCTTGGAAACCATCTACGAAACAAGCTTTTCCTTCAAGCCTGCAATCATTTTCTTGCATTCCTCATCGCGAATGCCAAAGCCAGTCGTATTGTCGCACTTGTAAAGAACGATTGGTGGCCAAGGACATTGGACATGCGGACTAAACTGGTTGAGGCCAACGGAGCTGCTCAATTATGTACGGCAAGGACACATACAAACGAAGCAATATGTAGACAAAATCTGAGGTATATGCACAGCCAAGCTACCAATGTGCGATGGATGCATTGACCAGCGCTCGGTCACAAGACAACTTTTCCCCTGTAATTGGATTCAAATGCCGATTACTACAACAAAAGCACTGCGCATTCTGCGCAGAGAATTCGGCGAGCTCCGCCTTCAAGCCATTGCTTTCGATAAGAAAGTCATAAAACCGTGTCGCAAAAGCCAGGCTTACCTCAGCTTCATCCATCGCATGGGTGGTTGTCAAAACCAAGGTCCGTTTTGGGGTCCTGAATAATAGAATACGGCACCTAATATTTAAAGTACCCAAAAAGGGACACTACCCACATGGTTCGAACATATCTCGCAACAAGTTAAAGGGCAGGATGAGTTGTGGACAAAAATTCGACCAAGAGGCTAGCAGAAGCGCAGCAGACCGCAAGCCGGCATTGAACGGCATGTGAATGCGCAGCAACTCCAACGCCCAGGTACAGGCCGCAATCTCCGAAATAACCTTTCCCAAGATGATTGGCAATAACACCACTTTTCCTGCTGCCTTGGAATCGTAGAGCTTCGAGTGGTAGAACGCGGCCAGCTCGAAGCTGCACCAAAGCCTAGAAAAATAAGTTCTGTCCCATGCGACCAGCAGTGTCCGCGACTTGTTTAGAATACCACCAATGGCGTTGATGCCTTGCGTCTTCCTGCGATGCCCGAATGACAATCCGGCAGCGCACAAACAATCCAGCCAACAACACGGCTTACTTGTCGCACCCTCAAACCTGTTTGCCATTCTGCTATTCGACGACAAAAACATATACGAACAAACAGACATTTGTGTCCATACACTGCATCAACAGTCGTGGATCGACGGGATAGCTTAACTACTTAGCCAAAACATCGCATTACCCTGAGTGCGTATTTCCGGGCACCAGAAAACGTAGGGGGGATAATTCTGGGAATTCTCGATAGGGTTGCGTTGCGGCGTCCAACGGAATAAGTCGCGTGCTAACAAAGTTTTGACCAACCACTACAGGCAGCGTGTCCACTTTCTGGTTGTGAGTCGAAGCTGCGCCGGCCGGACACGCTGCCCACCAAACCGGGGTCGGCTCCGGTGCGCACTCCCCTGCTCTTTCTGCTGGCGACCGCCTTTCCTGCTGCCGACCGCCCGGTTGGCGACTGTCAGCGGGTGAATGTTCAGGCAAAGCGAAAAAGGTGACGAGGGCGGGAAGTCGAAAAGGCGATCGAGCCGAAAGTATCGGGGCTCGGTCGCTGGTGTTTGTTCCTACACGAATTTCGTGTTGCACTAAACCAGCACTGTTTTCACGACGCCGTGAAGTTATCCCACTTTTCGCCTGCTTGAGCGAAGGAGTCTCGAGCGCGGCCTTTGGCCGCGAGGTGAAAAGCGCCTGAGCGAAGCCACCGATGCACAGCCTACGGGCGAGCTTAAGCCGAAAGCCTAGAGGCGGGGTGGACTAAACCACAACCTTAAGGAGTGAAGGGGTGAAGGCGGCCGGCTGGCAAAGCGAAGGGAGTTTAAGCAGAAGTCTATCCGACCCGGGCTGGGAGGGCGGGAGAGAGAACTCAGCTTGAGCCGGTCGCTTGCAATCGGCTTCCCTGGGATAGTAAACATCCCACTTTTCGCCTGCTTGAGCGAAGGAGTCTCGAGCGCGGCCTTTGGCCGCGAGGTGAAAACGCCTGAGCGAAGCCACCGATGCACAGCCTACGGGCGAGCCTAAACCGAAAGCCTAGGGCCTACAGGCGGGGCGGACTAAACCACGACCTTAAGGAGTGAAGGGGTGAAGGCGGCCGGCTGGCAAAGCGAAGGGAGTTTAAGCAGAAGTCTATCAGCCGTTAATTTCCTTGGCGAACGCCACAGTCATTGATGACACTCAAGATCAACGGTCGCGCATAGCGACTGAAAAGCCGGATCCTTTCTCGTGCCCACGTCGGAAGCCGCTGTAACAAAAGTTGCGCGGCGACTTCTTGCAAGTAAAACTCAACCGTCTTAGTCTTACTCCACCTTCCCCTCCAGGCCACAAGAGGTAGGTCCTCTGTCTCAAAGTAGAGCCTGCAACTCCGGGTCCTCGACGGCCGTTGAGATCCAAAGGCGCCTCGCTGACAGGTCGCACCGAAGTGCCCGCATTGATGGAGACGAGGTCCAAGGAGCTGCCCCGAAGCGAGGCCCCAGATCGGCACAAAGTGCAGGGAAAGCTCGCCGACCGGCTTTCTTCGCAAAGTCTCGCAGGCAACCGCTATGGCCGTGAAGT